TGATTCCCAAGAGATAGATAGGTTAGTTCCATGTTTTCCTACTGATGACTAACATGGACTGGTTCCCAAGAGGTAGATAGGTTAGTTCCATGTTTTCCTACTGATGAGTAACGCGGACTGATTCCCAAGAGATAGATAGGTTAGTTCCATGTTTTCCTACTGATGACTAACATGGACTGGTTCCCAAGAGGTGGATAGGTTAGTTCCATGTTTTCCTACTGATGAATAACGCGGACTGATTCCCAAGAGATAGATAGGTTAGTTCCATGTTTTCGTAGTCATGAACAACACGGACTGATTCCCAAGAGTTAGATAAGTTAGTTCCATGTTTTCCTACTGATGAGCAACGCGGACTGATTCCCAAGAGATAGATAGGTTAGTTCCATGTTTTCCTACTGATGAGTAATGCGGACTGATTCCCAAAAGTTAGATAGGTTAGTTCCATGTTTTCCTACTGATGAGTAATGTGGAATGATTCCCAAGAGATAGATAGGTTAGTTCCATGTTTTCCTACTGATGAGTAATGCGGACTGATTCCCAAAAGTTAGATAGGTTAGTTCCATGTTTTCCTACTGATGAGTAATGTGGAATGATTCCCAAGAGTTAGATAGGTTAGTTCCATGATTTCCTAGTCATGAACAACACAGACTGATTCCCAAGAGTTAGATAGGTTAGTTCCATGTTTTCCTACTGATGAGTAAAGCGGACTGATTCCCAAGAGATAAGTAAGCTTTTAAAAAATAAAAGATTTCAAAAAACATTATTTTGTGTTTTCTTAATATAACATTTTAATGTGTTAGAAATTCTCAACTATTTAACTTTAATAAGAAACACATTTAGGAAATTACTAAGCATTTGGTGAACAAAAATAATTGTGTTGGCATGCTAAGACTTTCTGGTGTTGATATTTTATATGAATGAAATTCTTTAATTTGTCTTTTAATTTTGCATGAAGCATCATTCTGCATACTATATATGATGATCAAAATTGAAAATCGTAATGTGTTTAGTCAAATACATATATTATACTCAAAATAATTCAATAAAAAAGATAATTTTTTCATTTAAAAATGTAATTTGTAATGTAATATACAAGAAACTAAAAGTATAACATGAACTTTCCCATTTGTTTCTTTTTCTGAACATGAAGGAAATTCAGTGTGTAAAACTGATTGTTTCAACAAACATTTTTGGTCTGATGGTTCTGTTGGAGGGTCTCGATCCCCATCACCTCATGAGGAAAAGCCACTTGATCTGAGTTTGCACTCTAGCAGAATTTGCAAAAATACCATCAAAGAGGATGAAGAAGACAGTAGTTCAGCTAGTTCTGTTCTCAGAGTTCCTCTTCCATCATCAAAGCTAGGGTAGGTTTGGTCTAAGAAAACATAGTTTTGTTTATCCATTTTTCCTTAAAATTTTAGTTACTTCAAATAACCTAGCAAATATTTTATTCTTAGTATTAATGATTAAGAATAAGATGAAAGGAGTTTGCAAAATTTATTTTCGCAGAGGCTGTTTTTCATTGATATCTTTGTTTTATAGATGTTACCATCAGCATATGTGAAATTAAGTAGGAAATTTCATCACTGAAAATTCTTCTGCAATAAATGATGGAAGGAGATTTCTATAATAAGTATCTGGTACTGATTTATCGTCAGTTGAAAGGGCTGAGTTGATGAGTAACACTTGTAACAGATAATACAGTAGTAGTAAAGAATTATACAATGTACACATAATGTGTAATGGTAGTGTGTAGTGGCATTACAATGTACTCAAATTGAGGAGTATCAGTTAAAATGTGCACAAAAAAGTGAGGGTTTGTAATGAATGGTTCTATTCACAGTATAACAAAGGATATTTTGGAGTTTTTACTTTTTAACAATTGTTTTTTAAATTTATAGGATTTTTACTTTTTTTCTGTTTATACAATGTTCAGTAGGACAATAAGATCAACTGTAGTAGATGTTTGTACAATGTTCAGTAGGACAACATGATCAACAGTAGTAGATGTTTATACAATGTTTAGTAGGACAACATGATCAACTGTAGTATATGTTTATACAGTGTTCAGTATGACAACATGATCAACTTTAGTAGATGTATATGCAATGTTCAGTAGAACAATATGATTAACTTTAGTAGATGTTAATACAATATTCAGTAGGGCAACATGATCAAATGTAGGAGATGTATATACAATGTTCAGTAGGACAACATGAATCAACTTTAGTAGATGTAT